TAATACTGCAGAGAGTTATTATTGCCTTCAGATGACTTATTAAATGGGACCAGTCTCTGGGAGTGGTTTTAAGCTAACGTTGCAGACCACCTCAAACCCTATATGAATATTCTAATAGTGTAGAGTTATTGCAGTTTGCTTGGAAAAGCTAAAAGCATCTGATGCTATTAATCAAACAATTTGTCTGGAGGTTATATATAGAGAACTACGATCCCAATACGTATTTATTAACCTTGTTTGGAGCAAAGGTTTTCTACTCCCCACTTTGAAATATTCCCTTAGGGAACAAGCAGCATTTCTCCTAACAACAAAACCCTCTATAGACTTAACCCAGAAGATTTTCTCCTTTTTTTTTTTTTTTTTTTTTGTGTTTCCATCTTAGAAGACTTACACGTCATGAATGTGGCTGTAGAACCTGCTGTTGAGCGCTCCGAGCTCTGAGCCAACGAGTATGAATGGGGGGGCTATCTCTGCAGCCTGCAGGAGTCGGTGCAGATCATCCACCATCCTGCAACACATTAAACTCATCACAATCAGGGCACTGCAAACTGGGCCAGGACATTTATACCAGCTGCCAGGTGGGCCAGAGGTCACCGGCATGAAAGATGGAGACAACAATAAGCTAAAGCTAAATGTAAAAAGGAGCAAAGAATAGACAGGATATTTGATGCAAAGCAAACGATGCCACTTTTACAAAAAACAACTGTGATTTCCATCAGAGTTCCACTTCTATTAATTCTCATTTTAATTCCTGAAACATTCATTTGACACAGTAGAAAAAAGGGACATATTTGGTAGAAAAAAACCCTTGTTTATAACTAGAGGGGTCAGAGGTTTCCGATAGTTCTAGAGCAGGTTTTAACCTACAGCAGCAGGAGTTTTGGTAAAGCTGAGCAATAAATCTATTTTATCCATCAATAAAACTTTTTGGTATGAAAGAGGATTTTTCTCAGAAATATATGTCCAGATTCATATAAAATTAAATAACTGATGGCTGGCATTCTTGGAATTATCGTTGCCCTTAAAAAATGAATAATTAAAATCCATAAACTCTGGCCGTGGTGGGGCCTACAAAACATTAGCCAATCCACTTTGGCTACCATGTGAAGTGGATTGGCTACTTGTTTGTCAATCAGTCCATTTTGTGTCATTTTGTGTACGTGCCACTATGACATTATATACTAAGGCTTTAAGCGTAACTCATACGCTGTTTGGCTAGCGGTCCGCCATTACACCAAAGCATGAAGAAGTACTCCTATGCCTGTTTACGGAAGCATATCGCATTTACCAATGAAAAAAACTAATCGGGCAACTTATCTCATAATTACGTGATCAGTATCTTGTAATTATCTTATGATCACTTTATTCTTTTCTCAGAATAAAGAGATACTGATCTCAGAATTACGAGATACGATCCTGATCTCAATATTATGAGATCAACCATCTAATTTGGATCCTTATTGTTGAGTTATTGTTATTCTTTGGAGATTAGATTAATTCAATAAATAGATAAAAAATA